CCCCGAAAGCCCTGAGCCCTAAACCCCCTTCGATGTTAGGCCGTTTCGGGGCCTTCCTCCCGCGGCTGCTGCCTTCAGCCTCCTGGGACTCGGCGGCCACGCGGGCTCCGATCTCCTGTCGCCACGAAGGGCTGGTAGGGTTTGCGGACTTAGGGTTTGAGGTTGAGGGTTGAGAGTTTAGGGTTNNTTTAGGGTTTAGGGTTAAGGTTAAGGGTTTTGGAGTTGAGGGTATTAGGCTGGGTTACCCTAAACCCTAAGCCCTGTCTTTGTGGATGTTTAAGCTGGTTGAGGATGTGGGGGTTTGGGGTATCCAGTATTATAGCCAGGTTTGGAGGGTTCTGGGGCTTTGGAATGTGGGTTTCATGTCATGGGTATTTTTTTGCGGATAATCCAGGGGCCTTCATACTTACCTATGCTATTTCTGGAGTTCCTTGTTATGATAATTAATACTATAGAGGACCCCAAAACCCTATTCTAATTATTACGACACTTACATCAGGTCCAATGATGGTTGGAGGCATTCAGGCTTTGCTGCTTGCTGTCTTACTGCCGAAGTACATGCCTAAATTAACTCGATGCACGTGACCTTGTTGTTCCGACAGCAGTGATCGGAAAGAACAGTTCGGTTGAGTCTTGCTGTTGCTCCTTGCTGTTTCTGTTGCAGTAAGATCAGGAAAAAACACAACAATTGGAGGAACTGTTCCTTTCGTCATTATTTTGCTACGCACTCAAATTCATGTGATAAAGTCTGGCGCCATCATCTCTGAAGAACAACAGCTGATCAGGCTGCACCCTTCTTTGGACCCCGGAGCCCACAGTTTCAGCAAATCTATTGGAGCTTCAGAATACTAGGAGCCCTCAATAAAAAATTCACAAGGACCCCTAAGAAGGAGCCCTTTAGAAGAAGAAGCCCCGTTTCCGAAAGTTCCACGGCTCGATTGGGCACTGCGCCGTCCTTGATCAAACCGCATGAAGAGGACTGGAGCAGCTCCACTGCCTTTCAAGGAGGTTTGGTTTAGGTTTAGGGTTTAGGGTTTAGGGTTTATTTAGGGCTTAGGGTTGAGTCCACCTGTCTTGGGGGTTTGCAGGTTTGGGGGGTCTATAGGGTTTACGGTAGGAGGTGTCTCAATGAAGGGGAGTACTGTGTCCGCCAGGAGCTATACGTCCCCACCGCCGCTCGAACTCACCCTAGTCTCTCTGCGCTAGGGTTTAGGGTTTAGGGTTTAGGGTTTAGGGTTTAGGGTTTAGGGTTTAGGGTTTAGGGTTTAGGGTCTCTGATCGCACATTGGTTTTCGTGATTACCGGTCTGCTGGCCGGTGCGGGTACGGCCTTCTTCATCCTTAAACCCCAAGCCACAAGCAAAAGCCGAAGGGCCGGCTGTGGTTCAGACTCTTCTGGGAGGCCCTGCGCCAACAAATGCGAGGGGAGGCCCGGCCCCGGTCTCACATAGTTTAGTATAATTATACTGTGATTGTAATAAGGAGCCCCCAAAATAGCATGGGTAATGATAACGGCTCCTACAGTAGGGTGCAGTGCTAGGGGGCTTAGGATGCATGCTTCGCGCAGCCATCAGACCTTGGGCCTCCATCTTCACCCGAACCCAACCTCTGCTGAGACACTTAGGGCTTAGGGCTTATATAGGGTTTAGGGCTGAGGGTTTAG